AGATATAGATATATGTACTCCTTATAATTAAAAAAATCATTTATTTCTTCAAGGTTCTTAATATATTTGCATAATTTTGAACAAAGTAGTCTCATGGTTAATTTAATTTCCTTTATATCTGTGGTTATTTTTCCAGTATCCTTTCTCATAGAGTGTATTTGTGATTTCTTTTTCCTCATTTAAGTAAAATAATGCTAATGTTTTATTTATTTTGCTTCCCCAACCACCTGTAGACCAATTCGTGCATTTATACTGTTTTTCTATTTTCTAATTCATTCACTTATGCTTTTATTTCATTAAAATTCTTCCATCTGTTTTTCTATTTTTTATTTTTCTAACTTCTTCAGTTCAATGCGTAATTTAATTAATCAAACACTTTCTGATTTATTATAGGTGTATTTTGGGCTATGTATTTTAATCTGAGAACTACTTTAGCCATTTGTGGTCCAATCTGAGAGTATTCTGTTTTTCAGTAGGTAAATCCTATGGTTTAGCTCAATTTTCTTTGTAAGTATGACTGATCTATTTGGCCTTAGGTCTCCCAGTATATTTCCTGTTGCATGTCTTGTTTTCATTGCTTTTATGTCTTTTTTTTTTTTTTTTGAGACAGAGTCTCGCTCTGTCACCCGGGCTAGGGTGCCATGGCTTCAGCCTAGCTCACAGCAACCTCAAATTCCTGGGCTCAAGTGATCCTCCTGCCTCAGCCTCCCGAGTAGCTGGGACTACAGGTGCTTTTATGTCTTTTAACCTTTAATCATGTGGTCCTGAGTTCCATTGTACTGTTTTGGATGTGTTACTTCTGTTTCACAGCATAGCAAATGGAGGAGCTCCTCTAAAGTGTTTTTAGGAATCTAAACCTAATTCTGATATCCAAATCTTGTTAATTCATAATACCTGGGAGATGAGATTTGAGGCTGCAAAGAAGCATGATGGCAGGCCTATGGCTATACATGTTCAGAGGACTTTTTTGCCTTTCTATTCAATGCCAAGATTTTAGATACCTAAGTTCCCTTGTAGTTTGTTTTAGTCTTTTTTGTGCTGCTATAATAGAACACCTGATACTGGGTAATTTATGAAGAATAGAGATTTATTTCTCACAGTTCCAGAGTTTGGGAAGTCCAACATCAAGGCACTGGCATTTGGTCTGGTGAGGGCCTTCTTGCTGCGTCCTCACATGGTTGAAGGAAGGAAGGGCAAGCTAACAAGCTAGCAAGCTGACCAAATGCTGAGTGAAGCTTCTTTTAAAAGGGCCATAATTTTTTAAAAGAATCTAGGTGCAGTGGAATGTACCTGTAGTCCCAGCTACTTGGGAGGCTGAGGCAGGAGGATCACTTGAGGTCAGGAGTTTGAGGCTACAGTGCACTATGATCACGCCTGTGAATAGCCGCTGCACTCCAGCCTAAGCCACATAGCGAGACCTCACTTCTAAAAAAATAAAAAGAAAAACCATATTGAAAAATTTTTAAAGGGCCTTAATCCATTAATAAGAAAGCAGCCCTCATGGCCTAATCACCTTTTAATAGCCCCACCTCTTAATACGATCACATTGGCAACACCTGAATTTTGGAGGGGACACATTGAAACCATAGCACAGTCCTTTGAGTAGAGGCAATTTTATTTCTAGTGCATTCTTTCATTCAAAGCGAAGCTGTTTTGTTTCCAGATTGATGTCAGCAGTCTTTGCCCTCAAACAGGCCATGTTCTTGAAAATTGCAGCTTGAGTAACCTTGGTTTGACAGATGTTCTCAAGGTGAAGGGGAGAAAATAGTAGATGCTATGGTTTGAATGTTTGTGTGCTCCCAAAATTCATATGTTGAAACCTAATCACCAAGGTTATGTTATTAGAAAGTGGGGCCTTTGGGAGACGATCAGATCATGAGGGCTTTGCCTGCATGAGTGGGATTAGTACCCTTATAAAAGAGGCCTGAGGGAGCTTGTTTGCCCTTTTCACCATGTGAGGATGCAGCAAGAAGATGCCATCAATGAGGAATGGGCTCTTATTAGACACCAAATCTGCCGGTTCCTTGATCTTGGACTGCCCAGACTCCAGAACTGTGAGCGATAAACTTCTGTTGTTTATAAATTACCCAGTTCATGATATATTTATTATAGCAGACCTAGTGGACTAAGACAGTGGATTGTCTGTTTTTGTTGAGATTGCTGTGGCCAAGCTTCTGAGGTCTGGTCTCCTCTGAAGTCAGTGCCTTTCAGCAAGCCACAGCAACAATGGGGGATTTCCTAAAAATGTCCCAGAGTGTGGATGGATGTTGTTTCTTCATGTTCTATGAACTTTTATAGAGCATGTACTTCATGGCAGACATTATTTTGAGGATTCTGCAGTGAACAAAGTAGATAAAATTGTCACTGTTTGGTGAAGACAGATAATAAAAAGTGGTGTATGTAGATATACTTTTTTATCCTTTGGTGATATACATATTCATCCTCTGGTGATAAATGCTTAAGTGGTATGGATGAAAGCAGAGCAAGATAGGGGAACAAGGAGTCACGTGTGGATATGGGGTGGGCAGGGAAAGCCTCAATGATAGGGTGCCATTTGAGCAGAGATCTGAAGTGAGTGAGGGAGTGTTTGAAGTAGGACTTGCCAGGCAGAAGGAATAGCAAGTACAAAAGCCCTGAGGCAGAGGGATACCTGCCTTCATGCTTCTTTGCAGCCTCAAATCACATCTCCAATGTATCCCCAAAACATCTCAAGAATTTACCTTAAATAATCCCAGGTTGTAGTGACCCCAGGTGCTTGAGAGAAGTAAACATAAATCCACTTTGGTGTAAACCACCTTTCAACTCACAGATAAAATGCCAAGATTTAGGAACCCATAGTGGAAAAAAAAATCACAAAGCACACAAGAAAACAAGACACTATTAGCAAGATTCATAAGACAAAAACAAACAAACAGAGTCAAACCTATAAAACTTTAGATATTGAAGCTATCAGGCATAGACTATAATAAATATATATTTAAGGCCGGGCGCAGTGGCTCACGCCTGTAATCCTAGCTCTCTGGGAGGCCGAGGCGAGCGGATTGTTTGAGTTCAGGAGTTCGAAACCAGCCTGAGCAAGAGCGAGACCCCGTCTCTACTAAAAATAGAAAGAAATTAATTGGACAACTAAAAA